TGTATTTTTTGTGCCCAAACAGCCGTAGTGATGACCACCAGGTTGGCCAAGATTTCTGCCTTCAAATGTTTATAGTTTTGCACATCAGCAGGCGGGAGATCAAGGCAGGCCTTTTGAAGGTTCCCAGCGAGACAAGGAGCAATGAGGCCATCCCACTGGTCTTGGAGCCAGCCCTCTCCTTCCCGTCCTTTCAAAGCTAGTAAGGAATGCCTCCACGTAATCAATTGGCGTCAGCTTCTGCCCTCGTGGTTACCTGGTTGCTATTGGCAACAGACACTTGCTCTCCTCTTTCAAAGAGCTGCTGTACTGCTTCCTGCAACGCCGCCTACTGAGTTTACACAGAGCCTCCAGCTGCACTGCCTGGGACTGTTGAACCGGTATCAGAAGAGCCGAAATCTGTTTCTGGGGGGGCCGGGAATTCCTCATGGCAAGCCTGGCATTGCGTATTAGCCGGGGTCAGCTGCTTCATTGCATCTCCTGTGGATTTCAGAGCCTGTGCAGAATCAACCCATGACATACAACAGGACTGTCCAGGTGAATCCGGGACAGCTGGCAACCCTAGCGCCCATGGAGGTTCTACAAAGCCTCCGGGGTCCAAGACCCAGAACCGGACTTATTGAGATTTACTGAGATTCACAATATCATCAGCCAGTTCCTCACAACGCACTGGGTTCCTCCGTGTGATTCTCAACCAAAGTTACCATCTGCATGGAGTTTGCATGTACTCCCCGTGCTCGTGTGATTTCCTCCCACACTCCAAAGACACGCTGGCAGGATAATCGACTCCTAAATTATCCGTAGTATGTGTGTTTATGTATGAGATGTGAGATGGGACATTAGATTGTCAGCTCCTTGGGGGCGGGGACTGATGTCCACGTACAGTGTGTAAGGAGCCGTATGAATGTCTGTAATCACTAATAGCGAAACACATACGATAGACCGCAGTATTTATATTCAACACACGGCGGTGATCTCACAAGGATCACACAGACAGGAAGTGATGTAAGGTACAGACAGGAAGTGATGTAGTAGTATAAAGAGGCAGTTCCAGGCGAGAAGCGATCAGGGAGGAAGTAGAGAGGAGACATTGCTGGAACTGGCAGCAGAGGAGGTATGTCGGAAAATTATTCAGGCCGGTCACGGTCATCTATACATATTGTAACACGGGCATACCGGAGGCCATTTTGTTCTTTCTATTCTATCAGTATATAAGGTGAATCGGAGTTTATGGTTTCAAGACAAAAGGGGTCTTCATCAGCCATTCTCAGACCCTTCAGTACGGATTTCCAGGTTATACATTTTGGGGGGAGTCATCCGCAAGATAAGGACTGAGATCCCAGTCACCTCCGTATCCAGTGCGTCCCGGCACGATTCGGATCTATTTTGTCCATTCGCACTGCACTCGGAGCGGAGGGCATTCCGGTGTGGGCGAAGGGGTGTGTCTGTGGTGCCATTGACATCACGTCCCCTCCCGCCCCACGACTCGGCTTGATCTCTGCGGTCCAGTGCGTTCTGGCCGCGGATTGTGCCGGAACGCACCGGATATGGTGTGACTGGGCCCCCCCCCCCCAGGAAAGGTACCAGGCTGAGATAGACTGTAAGATGAATGGAGATGTCTCGGGCATTCTGCGTTCTGGCCACGAATTGTGCCGGAACGCACCGGATATGGTGTGACTGGCCCCCCCGGGAAAGGTACCAGGCTGAGATTGAATGCAGATGTCTCGGGCTTTACAAAGGACTATTCACCATGTTTGTTTCTTCTTTCTGATCTTTTCAACATATAAAAAAGTTCATGTTGAAAGTTACACGGTACATAGGATTCTTATTGTATCCAATCATTTCAATGGTATTAATATTATTGTATAAGATATCGAAATATTTGCTCAATTAAGTAATTTTATTACATTTTGGCTTCCCGGCCAATCAGCATCGAGCAAGGAACAACAACCAGGACGGAATTTAACCATCTTGATTTCTTTCTGAGCTTTTGTCCTGAATTATTTTTACATGGTGACAGGGTCTCTTCAAAAGGAGAACTATGGGGTCAGTGCTTTTCCCCATAGTTTTCCTAAGGGCCACGGTATACTAGCGTCCTCCCGTGACCCTAAGCTCAGTATATAGGGAGCTACAGCTCGCGGCATACTGAGACCGCGGCAGCCGGAGCGGATCACGACATCACTGTCCAGATCCACCCAGCTGCGTGATTGACAGCTATCTAGAGGAGGAGCCAGCTGTACCCTCCCCCGTCCTTTCCTCCAGTCAGCAGTGGAGGATCGGACAGGGGAGGGGGGAATCCCTGCAGGGAGCCGTGATTGATTGACAGTCACGGCTCTCTGCACGGATAGATCGAGAAGTGAGCGAGCGACGGCATGTGTTCGCTCACTTCCCGATCTACTGAGCCGACCTGTGACAGTTTCATTGTCACAGGTCGGCTAGAACTATGAGGAGGAGTGAAAATCACTCGCCTCATAGTTCTCCTTTAACGTTCGTCTCGTTCTTATTTTTTTTAAGCACTGCAGTGAAATCGGAGTCTTCTGTGGATCACATGACCACATCAGCGAGGATGGACAGGGACCCGAGTCACATGACTGAGAGGATATTAAACTTCACCCTGGAGATCATCTACCTGCTGAACGGAGCGGTGAGGAGGATTCCGGGAGGTCACATGATGTCTCGCATTACTGATAAAATACAAAGCTAACTGAAGAGGTCACATGACAATAGTTTTGCTTTTTCAAAACAGAGTTTTCCTCTGCTGAAGTCTGGCGACCGTTTAATCATCACAGTGCCTTCACCTCACTCCATGAAACCCAAGAGGAACATGGACAAAAAAATTGTGGAGGTCGCCAAAAAGATCATTGATCTGCTGACGGGAGAGGTGAGCGGTGCCGGGGATTCTGGGACATGATCCAGGAACAGACAAGGGATGTGTCTGGGTGGTGACTGTATCATTGTGTGTGTCAGGTTCCTATAAGGTGTCAGGATGTCTCTGTCTATCTCTCCATGGAGGAGTGGGAGTATCTAGAAGGACACCGGGATCTCTACAAGGACGTGGTGATGGAGAATGCCCCGCCCCTCACATCACCGGGTAAGAGGAGAGAGCAGTACGGAGGCTCCACCTAGATCCCCCATCATCTGATACACACATAGAGACAATGTATTCAGTCAGTGTGTGTGTTTCCTACAGATGGATCCAGTAAGAGGAACCCACCAGAGAGATGTCCCCGTCCTCTGTATTCCCGGGACTCCACCCAGGAACATCTCACCATCTCACATAAGGTGAAATAGAGAAATAATTAGTAATAGCCGATACTTACATTATAACCTCTTCATTATCTATGTAGTTACATCTGATCTCATTGTTCTCAATATTCAGGGTATAAACCAGAGTGAGTGTGATAATGATGTTAAAGAAGAGATTAAAGAGGAGGAGGAGGAGGTTGGTGTGATGGAGGAGTTCTCAAAAGCGCATAAGGAGCCCTTTAAGAACATAATAATGGGGCAATTCAATGACACAAACCCACCAGAGAGATGTCCCCGTCCTCTGTATTCCCGGGATTCCACACAGGAAGGTCACACCATCCCTCATCATGGTCAGGTAGGTGGCACTCGGTGTATAGAAAGAGGACTGACTCTGAACTTTGAAGAGGATACCGGGTCACTTCCTCTGCTTACATATATAAAACACGTGTGATGATGAATACAGAGCCGCATTCCTTTGTGTTTTTTATATCTCCCAGGAGTTCAGCTTTATGAGATGTTTTCTATTATTTTGGGGTTTAGGGTGAAGAACGGAACAATATAAAAGCTGAGGTTAAAGAGGAAGAAGTGGAGACGTATGTGGGGGGTGACCGGCCGTCCACGGAGGAGGTCGGGATGATGATGAAAAGTGATCAGGATGACATTTCTCTACCGATCAACACAAGTAAGTAACAGACACTATGGAGGGAACAGGTCACAGTTCTATGTCACTTCTGAGTAGAAGGTGTGACGTTTAAGGGATCATGTTGGAGAATTATCAGATCTTCACATCATCAGATAAGATGAGACTGAATTATAAATGGTGGACCATCAAAGTCGGGAAGAAGATTCCCCAGAAGAAGTCATCTCCCCTATTGTAGGATGAAGGGGTCGTGCTCCATTACATTGGTTGTCCATCTCCATTCCTCAATATAACGTCATGTGACCAACAAATGAGGAGGAGATACTGTACACCATATGAAGGTCCATCTCCATCCCTCCATAGCGGTCATGAATGAACAGTACAATGGTCTCCAGAGGGTCAGAGGTGTTTTGGGGGTTTTGTCTCCTTTATCTGGTTGGTTTTCATATTTTGGGGTTGCAATTGGACCCAATTCCATGCCAGAGCTCTGTGATGACTTCTAGAACCAACATACATGACTCTGATTACTGACGTGTGTAATAATTTCTCTCCAGCAGATGGATGTGATGTCAGGAATACCTCGGAGAGACATCTTATATTATCTGCCGATTGTAAGTCAGAAGATAATGTCATCATACAGGATTCTCCAGGAGTGAATCCAAACACACAAAATATACATCACAGACCTCACTGCTCGGAGACATCAATGGATCCCTCTGATCAGGGTGAACCTTCTGATCATTCACATACTATGATTGGAAATATCCATTTAGGATCTCACACTGCAAGAGATCCATCTAATCCCAATGTAGTGTCAAGTTCAGTGTGCGGGAAATCTTTCACCAAATACAAAAACCTTCCTAAACATCAGAGATGTCAAACAGGTGAGAAGCCTTATTTCTGTTCAGTGTGCGGGAAAAGTTATGCACATGAAATCACTCTTCGTGTACACCAGAGAAGTCACAACGGAGAGCGCCCCTATTCCTGTTTAGAGTGCGGTAAAAGTTTCAGTTGCCAAGGAAGTCTTCTTGTACACATACGAATTCACACGGGTGAGCGTCCTTACTCATGCTCAGAGTGCGGGAAATCTTTCACTCAGAAAGTGGTACTTGCTAAGCACCAGATAGTTCACACAGGTGAGCGTCCTTATTCCTGTTCTGAGTGCGGGAAAACTTTCTCTCAGAAACAACAAGTTGATAAACATAAGAGACTTCACACAGGTGAGCGTCCCTATTCGTGTACAGAGTGCGAGAAAACCTTCATTGACAAAGCAGCCCTTGGTAGACACCAGAGAATTCATGCAGGGGTGCGGGCTTATTCATGTACAGTGTGCGGAAAAAGTTTCTTTGAAAAAGAAAGACTTGTTATACACCAGAAATTTCACACAGGTGATCGGCCTTATTCATGTCCAGACTGCGGCAAATCTTTCGTTCAGAAATTTGACCTTGCTAAGCACCAGAGAACTCACACTCGTGAGCGTTCTTTTTCAAGTTGAGAGCACGGGAAACTTTAATTTAGAAAGGAAGCTTTGTTCGACACCAGAGAACCCAAACCGGTGAATTAATTTATTCATAGTGCGGGAAGTGTTTCACTCGGGTATGAAGCCTTGTTAGTCACTGCAGGACTCACACAGATAGGTTTCCTTTTTTCATGGTCAGAGTGTGGGAAAGGTTTTGCGTGTGTCAGAACTGCCGACCTGCGCCTTATGTGTAAATTTACTAGGAAGAGACATGCCATATGAAAATCGAGGAGTCCGGTATATACAGGAAATATCATTTTATAACCTTGTCTGTAATTCCTAGATTTATACAATGAATGTGTGGACTTTGCTGCATGAGTTTTCAGGTTGTTTATCATTCTTTTATTTTGCTATAATTATAAATATTAAACCGCGGGTATGAATGATGGAAGTGGGCGGAGTCACCTGGATCTGAAGCGCTGTATGTAGCAAATGTAACGTGCAAAGTTCAACCAATAAAACGTTTGTACACATGTGCGGGAAATGTGCCATTTGATTTTTCAGTCACGAGGACGGCGGTCCATGTAGAGCAGGGTGTCCAAACTCCGGCCCTCCAGCTGTAGTGGAACTACAAATCCCATGAGGCATTGCAAGATTCTCACAGACATGTAAAGGCACGATTGAGGCCACGCATGCGCAAAGAGCCAACCGCGAGAATCGCCAGGTAAGATGAGGACCGATGAATGGAGGTTCTACACAGACTCTGGAATCCATGACCATGAACAGGACCTACTGAAGTTCTCAGACAAGCTTGTTTTCTCCATATCAGTCACAGAACCCTACATCATGTGTATGTGAGGAGCCTAGATGACACATACACACCGTCCACCATATTGGCAACCAGTGACTCAATATATATATTGTGAGGGGATAGACTCAGGGTAGAGGATACCAGGTAAGATGAGGACCAAGGAATGGAGGTTCTACAAAGACTCTGGGGTCCAGAACCATGAACAGGACCTACTGAGGTTGTCAGACAAGTTTGTTTTCTCCATATCAGTCATAAACCCCCCACCATGTGTATGTGAGGAGCCTAGAAGACACATACACACCGTCCACCATATTGACAGTGCCTCAATACTGCTTTTCCTGAGGAAATACTAACAGACCAAGCCACTCCATTCACGTGGAGGGTTATGGCGGATGTGTGCAATCCAAGTTATGGATTTATATAAATATTGTGTGTTTGGCCGCAATCTGCACCAGGTCAGCACCTGCTGGGGATCCTAAACTATCACCAACCAAGGAGGACACCCGTTCCTGGTCTCTCCAGGTTTTCAACAAGTTCATGTGGTAGATCTGATACAGCTTCCTCCTGCCTGGTTGATGGACTTTATAAGTCCCTTTCCCCACCTGAGCCACAATCTCAAATGGGCCTTGCCAGCTGGCCAGAAACTTCTAGTGGGAATCAGCACTGTGGCTCGATCTCCCACTTCAATGTGCCTCACTAAACGTTGTGCCCTCTGGGCACTTTGCATCTGTTCCTTGATCAGCGGACCTTATGGTGACCTTGGCCTTTTTGATTCTTTTCTTGCATATGGGTGACATATTCCAGAAGACTCTTATGATGAAAAGCCTAATTTTTCTTTTACCAGGTTAAGCAAGTCTCAGGGTCATACATCAATCCAAGGGTGAAAGCTTGAGGAAGCTCCCGAATGGAAGTAGTCCCAATCCTTCTCTACCGTTCTTTTAAGCCTGGCCTCTAAGGTCTTATTAAAGCGTTTGACCAAGCCCTCTGTCTGTGGGTGGTAGACAGGTGTGCGTAGCTGCTTAATCTGGAACAGCTTGCACACATCTGCCATAACTCCACTCGCTTGGCCTACAAGACTCTGCTCTCTCGTGGTTCTCCTCCTACCTATCTAAGTGCTCTTTTATTGTCACCTACAAATCTTCATCCTCTTTCTGTAGGGGTCCCCCAAGGCTCTGTTCTTGGACCCCTTCTCTTCTCCATCTACACCTCCTCCCTTGGTCAGTTAATAACCTCACATGTCTTCCAATACCATCTCTATGCCGATGACACTGAAATATATCTTTCTACTCCACAACTCCCCCCCTCAGTGTCCTTGCGTGTCACTAATCTACTAACTGGCATATCCGACTGGATGTCGCAACATTTCTTAAAACTCAATCTATCAAAAACTGAGCTCATGATATTTCCCCCCGCCCCTGTGCACCTTCCCCCAACATAACATTTCGTTTGAGATTGATAATACAACTATCCAACCCTCACCCCATGCCAAGGTCCTAGGTGTCATCCTT